ACCAATAAATATTTTCAAATTTCTCAAGCACATGTCTCCCCACCTAGACACAAACAACCCCAAAGACCAAAAAAATAGATGTTTGATATTTAATGACCATTGATTATTATTATTAGTTTCAGTAGTCCTCCTTTGGATTCTTAAAGTGCCACTCGATCAATCCTAAGGCATATTACGACAAGAAAGAGACCAAAAAAGGACTCATACTTCAATAATTTTGGGAAAATATCCACTTATGAAAGAAGGTATATTACAAAACAGTTCCTTACTTTTATTTGAATAGGATAGCAAACTATTCACAACATACCCCATGAACAAACCATCTTAATGAAAAGGCTATGGTTTTTCTCTTGATAAGAGACTTAGCTCATGCTTGTTTTGCTAATAGTATGCGAGATGGTTAGTGACAGAATTGTTAAATTATTTTTATATAAAATAAATAAATAAATCATTTTTATATTAAAAAAATTAAAACAAACAGGTGCACTTGGTATAAAAAAATAAAAATAAAAAAATAAAATTTTTATATAAAATAAACTCAATCATTTCACTATTTTCCTAATCCCACTCAAAATTCACCCAAGCTAATCCCCTAGCCGCTTGGAGTATGAAGCTGCTCATCCAAACTATCACCAAACGCACTGTGGATGGAACCCACAACGTTGCTAGTCCCATCCGGTCTCCTACACCGCGAAACAAACGTGACGTTATTGTATACAAAGTCGATTGTCTTTAGTAAAGTTGGCACATGATTGTAGTTGGCTGTGTAAATGATTTTTCTATCTAATATATGGGCAATGCTGGGACCCCTAGTCGGGGTGACCCCAGCACTCCCAGTGACAGTTGGCACACTGCCCAAAAAAAAGATAAAATAAAATGGAAAATATCTACTTACGAAAGAAGGTCCTACCAAATGAGTCCATAATTTATTTGAATAGTATAGCAAGCTGAACCTGCTATTGAGGACATTGACTTCTAGAACAAGCCCTTTCGAGGAAATGGGAGAGGATTTTAAATACAAGAAAAACGTACACAAAAAGAAAAAAAAAAGTAAAAATGACAATAATTATATTCTAAATAAAGAATAACCTTCAATAAATCCAAAAAAAAAATGGTAATATAAATTATTAAAGGTCCAACCATTCCATGTTTTGTGTAGGCCTCATGAAGATATTGGGGTACCCGACACTGCTGGAAAATCTGCTTTTAGCGCTATAGGTACAACAAACGTCGTTAATTCTTTTTGTGACGTTTAATATCAAACGCTGATGCTGCAGCCGTCGCTATAACTTTATGACGTGTAAAAAACGTCGTTATATAACTATAGGCGGCGTTTTTAAAATATCCCACCGAAGGTACTATGACGTTACTATCATTTTAGCGACGTTTTCAAAACGCCGCCATATCTTTTAAAAAAACCTGCCGTTAGCTTTTAGAGTTTTAGGTGGCGTTTTCAGAAACGCCGTGATATCCCCTTTTTTTAATGTTCTTAAATTTTAAATGTAATATGAACAAGGACCTATTGATGTAATAATAAACAAGAAGGCAGCCTAAATAATAATACATATGTACAGTTTTAGAAACACACAAACGAAGAAATTTAAGCTCAAAGCATTAATCTTTACATGCTTACAAACTCCAAAGGCCTTGTTACATAATGATTTAAAAAACAAAAAACAAAAAGTTGGGTCAAGAGGGTCTCATCAGAGAGTAAAATCAATTTTTCTGGTGTAGCCAATTTTGGGGTCGGGTAGTTATCTGTTGTGGGAATCCTGATGATGCTGCAGCAGTTGCAAACAGTTGCGGAGGATTGATGAACGGCCTTTGCTGATTGTTGCTTATTGACAGGGAGAGGTGATTGCCTCCGATGGTGGCTTCAATTTGACCTCCATTGCTGCTGCTGCTGCTGCTGCTGCTGCTAAGATACTGAACCTACAACCACACGATTAAAACAATTTATTAGCTAGTCTAATTAATTAACCCAGTTATACCCAACTCATGAAATGGGTTTCAATACAGACTTAATAGTTTGATGAGGGTGAAAACATGTGAAGCATTGAGTTTTCACTCTCATTGACGAATTGCCCGGGTCTTAGTGAACACGGAGATTGAATGTGGGTTTGGCTCAGAAGTTGCACTGTCTCGGTCATTGTACCCTTCTCTTCTGTAGGAATTAATTCTAGATGGTTCTTGTTGAATATTGAGCTGGGTTCACATTAGTATAAGTTATGGAAATTATTAAATATTATTAGAATAAATAGTTCAATTAAAGAAATTATTAATATTATTGGGCTGGATAAATAATAGCTTCTTTTAAGAATTTAGTCCATGTAGAATGACCTAGAAGCCTTCAGTTCTAGTCAGGCAAAGAATAACACAAGCCAATCTGAAATGAAACATGGCATAACAAAAAATCTACTCTAATGCACAATATCAAAGTTGTGTAGATTTCTCCATAAAGCAAAGGCATAGAAGAGCTTTTTAGAAGAAATTATAACAAATGTGTTACGTACAGGTTCTAAGCTATGAAGTGAAAAATAGAACTAACCTTTTCTTGCTGGACACCGTTCGTCGGAATTAAGCTGCGAAGTTAAAGCCGCTAGAATACCATACTGGAATTGGAATTGGAAAGTAATTTCATAGCTCAATAGAAGTTAACAACTATCATAAAACCATAAGTGTAATGTCATACTTGCCTGTAAAACTCAATTATATATATAATCTCAAAAGCCAAACCATCTTCCATAATAAACATGACCACATATAGTTTGCCACGAAAGACAGTATTAACAAAAACATGAGCCATTTTTTTGTCTCACACAAAAAGGCTTTTAAAAAAACATATTTTTGTGTACGTTTTTCAAATTATTTAAACTTTATAAAATCATCTAGACAGATCTAAAAAAGTTTAAGCAAAATCGGACCTAACTTTAAAAATGGACAATAATTAATCCCAAAAAAAAAAAAAATTAAATACAAACCTAGCTTATTCAGATGGCTTTCCAACAACTTGTTCCAATAAGAAGCCAGCCAAAGCTTGTCAAGTCTCCTTCATCCAGGTCCAACACAGTTTATAGATGAGAACACTACACCCTCTTCAAGTAGCGTGGCCGGCTGTCCTCGCAAAGTAAATCCTAAATACTTGTATTCACCTACAAACTACAAATAATTGTAGCCTTTCTGATTTCCCAATAATTGTTGAACATTAATACAAAGATTTTCTATACATGCCCAAAACAAGAAGGAAATGCTGGAAAAAAAAAATATTCTACAGCCATAAAAAGCAAGAAAAAAACAAAAAAAAAAAAAAATCTCATTTCTCCAATTAGTATCATCATGGTGTATACTAGTTCTCAAAACACTTAACCTACCCAAAAGAGAGGTGAAAATAAAAAATAAATAAAAATAAAGGAAAAATACAGTAAGGTGATGTTATCTATGCAAAACCTCATTATATTAACGAAAAAAAAAAAAGCAATCTATCACACTTGGTGGTACTAAATGACTAGTATTCCCTGTGTACAATCCCGGGTGGAATGCTTCCGAATATATGATTGTGGTCTAGATTCAAATATTCAAGGTTTCTCGAGAGATTACCGATGTATTCTGGAAACTTGCAGCTAAAATTGTTGGTGTTCACTTCCAAACGATGTAAATTGGTGGCATTGATCAAAGAAAAGATAAAGTTCAAGTCCTGCCTTAAGCTTTGAAAAGTTTCTTTTTGATCAAGTTTTTCTTGCAAAACAGACCTTTTAGAGAAACAAGCAAACTTGAGTAAATAATAGATAGATTTTAGAATGAATGAATTAAAAGATCACTTTGAAGAAAAGAACAAAACCTGAAACCTCTTGTACGCATACAAATGAGCATCCATCAAATCAGCGCGGATTGCCATATACACAAGCAATGAAAAACAGAGCCCCCAGTAAGAACCAACTACCCAGTCGAAATGGTCTTAAAAAAGGCAACAAAACAAGGAACAAAGAGTTATTGCACATTATTATATATCATCTGTGCTTCCCCGTGAGCAATAAATCAAACTGGTGACTGAAATTTCTAATCAGTTACGCAGGCCCACAAGAGCAATAGATCAAACTGACAAATGATTTTCTTTTTTCTTTTCTGGTACAGAATAAAATTATTTTTTTTGCCAGCAGAGAAAGATAAGAAATAGCTGTTTTAATGAAGGAGATGAAAATGAGGAGGCATGAAAATTTAGGGAAAAGAGAAGAATGCACTCAGCATGTGACAACAATTAAATTCTTTTTTTTCCTTTTTCTTGGGTACAAAGACAACCAGAGAATATTAATATGAAGGTCACCAGTAACATCTTTGACTGCAAACATTCCTCTGCAGTGCGCCCCCCCCCCCCCCCCCCCCCCCCCACAAAAAAAAAAAAAAAGGTGGCCCCATGAGCATAGACAGCAAGGAATTAATTTAAAAAATAAACAAATAACAAGGGACAACAACCAATAAATAAATGAAGAAACTCATCTCAGTCATTGCACTAAGCACTGAAGAATATTTTTCTAACAAAGGAGATTTACAGACCTGCCCCATTGCTCCAAAATATGATTAAAAGATTGTTTTTTGGTGAGCGCCAATAGAAACCTTACAAAGCTGCCGGAAAGAGGTCACAAGCACCCAAAGCATAAATAATGAGAGCATTCATTCCCATCCACTGAATATATATATATATATATATATAATTACAAATACAAATATAATATATGTATATAAATGAACATAGAATCGACTTACTATGTAAAAGATGATGGTTAAGAGGAATCCTGATGCTCCTGCAGTAATGCACATATAGCTCAAAGTGTAAAGTGGTTTAGAAAAAGAAATACCTGGAAGAATCAAGCATACCTTGCAGTTAGAGGAGAACAATGGAGTACTTAAAGTATTAGGATTGCAAATCAGATGCTAAAGTAAGACAGCATACCTAACACCTTTAAAGCATAGCCTGAAGCATACCTAACACCTTTAAAACATAGCCTGAAACGAATTTAATAAATACACTTGAGAAGCAATTTAGGCTGCAAAAGCATGCTAAATAAAACCAACAGCATTACAAGGAGGTTGAAGACTGCCCCTCATTCCACAGTGCACCTAGAAAGCCAATGTGGTGAATTGACAAATAGTTCCATAAAATAAATGGAAAAAAAAATGAAGGAGAAGAAAAGAATATAGTATCGAAATTAAGCTACAAAAGATTTTGTGAAAAGTAAAAAAGCATCAAACTTCCTCATACAAAAATCCAACCGTTATGCATTTTAGCGACGTTTTCAGAAACGCTGTCATAGCCCTTTTTAAAAAAAAAAAAATTGTGCTAATTTTTTGTTATTGAACTAAAAAAGTACCTATAATAAAACTAAAAAATAGCACTAATTAAAATAATAACTCCCATTCATATAGTAAAATCTTATCAAATGATAGTCCACAATCATTGTGCAAAAAAAACCATTCACACACAAATTAAACGGTGTATGTTACACAATTTAAAGAGATTAATAATTCCAAAATTAATAGTTGTAAAATGTTAATCTTGTCTAATTTAATTTACTAGTCAAACAAACATATTCTAAGGTTCTTAACATTCAGTTTATTCAGAATGAATTTTATATATATATATATATATATATGTGAGTAAAAAAGTTCACAAGCTAAACTCAGCTCAACTTAATAAATTTTATTTATTTCTATTAGAACAGTTGCAGGAAAAATCCTGACAATGGGGTATCTGTAATTTGCAGAATGTGAGGGGGAATCCATGTTTTGACAAACCTCATGGAGTGTGTCTTTGGAATTTACCCAAAAATACATCAAAAATATGTGCAACACTTCCAGATAAACTAAAAGAGTTTTAGCATCATGGATCATTAACCGAAAACAAACTTTTGAAGCATTAGGAGATGACTCACTTGTAAAATTGTCCCATGGTTGCACTTTTTCAAACGTAATGAAACAAGAATAGAAGCTCTTGAACTCATGTAACCTGCCAGATTAATGGTAGCCTCTCCAAGGATACTGGATCTAGCTGAACCCTACAACAAGCACATTGTTAGTTTGATGTTATCAATTGCTAAGACCATGAAGAGGAACCCAGTGAGAAAAAATGATGGTTGGCACACAGCTTGTCAAATCTTAATTAAAACGATATTGAAAGACACAATGGTAATCAACATAGGCATCAACCATCGAAATGACTAGCTTGAATAAGTATTGCTCAAATTCCTTTGGAGCTTCATCTTGTGAAATCTAGACAGACTCTGACAAAGTCTCTGTCCATCGACACGTCCCATTCCGTACTGATGCTTTTCTTGATTTGCTGACAGTTTTCCCCGTTTATGTGGAGAGAAGAGAGACATAAAGCTTGTCCCATCCTTTGGGTACCTAGAAGGGAAAAAAAATAGAGAGAGCGAAACCATGAAAAAAAATAAAATTAAATGAACAATGTAAATGGGAAAAAAGAAGAAGTTAAAACGAATAAGCTTGGATAAAAACTCAAAACAGAAATCACTGGGTCATAATTCTAGGACAGGGGAGACAATAGCGTAAGCCAGCCTGTTATTACATTAGATTACAAAGTCCATTTTTTTTAAACTATTCAATCAGTCAACATTTTGTGATAGTTACAATTTCTTATGTAGTGACATCCATATGCCTTCACTCTAAATCCAGAACCGCCTAGCATGACTGTAGTAGTGTAATTCAAGCTGATGTTGGACAGAAGTCAGCAAAATCTAATAGAAGTCCTATTTTGTATCACAGTTCAGAGATATAATATCACTGGTGCATCAAAAAGAATGCATTGATTATTTGTTCTTGTTCTGTCATACAGCAGAACTCTCTGATTATAATGAGAGCCATGGCAGGCTTAAACAACAATACTGTATCAGTGTATCACAAGTCAATATTGTTGGATGCCCAACCAAAGGGGATTTGGCAATCCAATTAAAAGAACCCATGTATAATATATTGATTATCACAAATTCATACAAACCAATTAAAAGAATGCATTGATATATTTTAACACCTTAAAATTCAAACCAACAAAAAAGAAGAAAGAGGAGGCAGATGATGAAGAAAGCAGCAGCTGAAAGCATCTTTACCTGTGATTCTACACTGGCACGTACAACATAAATGCCCCAGTTTCTGGTGTAATTATTATATAAATGTACTTTCCCAAACCTGACACTGGCACATACACTCATTTTCTGTAAACATGGTCTGTCCTAGTTCAAGAACAAGAACAAAAAGTCAAGGTCCTCTTGATAGTAAGTTTACGGGTTTTGTCAGGATGACCAACAAAACTAATCCCTTCACTAAGAAAGCTAACAAATCAATCTCAATACACACTTATCAACAGCCACAGAGTCAAGCAATTAATCTAAAATAGCTATCTACTAACATTTCACATCAAGTTAGGAAAACTACAAATATAAAAATAAAAAAGTTGTCCTTTCCCTTATCAAGTAAGAATGTCAATGCAGTATCAGTTTTCACAAGACATTGAAAGCAATGAATTCTTTGAGGTAGAAGGTTCAACTTACCAGTCAAGCCAAACATTGGACCTCATACTTTAAATCCTATTAACTATTAGGTACTTCAAATAAAGCTAGTAGGCATTAACTCACACAACTTTTGGGGTAACATTGGCAAACTAAATTCATAATTACGGATATGTGCAGTTAATAGACTGTTTCCAGAAAATAACAGTAGCATAGAAAAGTTTTCTTTGTCCATGATGACCAAATGAGAAGAAAAACCAAAGTAAAATTCATTGAGCCAAACAATGAATGGCAGTATCAGCCACAATAACAGACATTACTTGGAGAAGAGATTGTTGATGGTGGAACAAATGGAGAAGGGGCAAATGGTGGAGATCCAGGGCAGGGTTTCCCAGTAACCGGTCCACATAGATTTATGTTACTAGCAAAACTGCAGAAGGTACACAAAAAATTAGCATAGCATTTTACATCAATCATTCAAGGACACTACAGAACAACAATCTCTCTAACAAGAAACCTGATGGGAGTGAATAGTGAAAACGAGCCACTGTCTGGAATAGGTCCAGATAAGGATGATTATTCAATCAATACATAGAGATACATATATAAATTCATATATATACTTGTATAGAGAGATTTTTACGAGAAAAAAATTTTCCAAAAAAAAGTACAGATAATGTGTACGTAGAGAATAAGATTGTGCGAGAGAAACTGAGATCCAGAGAGATTGAGAGAGAGAGAGAGAGAGAGAGAGATAGAGACAGAGATCAAGAGAGAGATCGAGAGAGAGAAGAATCGACGAAACTGAGATTAGATTGAAATCGAAGTTGAAATCGTGCATATGGTTAGTAGACGATGCAGATGCAGATGGTGATGGCGGTGGCGATGGAGCTTTGAAATCAAAATCATTCTGAGATTGGATCGACCGAATGATGAATCACCGAGCTGAAAAAGGTTGAATCAAGTTGAAGGAACTAAAGGGTTTAGAGAGAAAGAGAGAGACAGAGAGCGAGTGAGAGATTTGAGGGACCGATTTCTCTGAGGCTCTAAGGTTTCTCAGAAATAAGTTGTGAGAGATTTGAGGGTTTGAAGAGAGAGAGAGAGAGAGAGAGAGAGAGACTGTAACACATTTGAAGGCGCTTTTCAAACGAATTCATTACTTAAACGGTACCATTTTAATAAAAATAAAATGTGACGTTTATAAAACGTCGTTAAATATTAAGAATAGTGGAGTTTAAAAAAATGTCGTTAAATAAACGCCGTTAAATCATATATTTCCTGTAGTGCGACTTGTTTTTCCAGAACTAGTGTCCCCAACAATAACAAGAACCTATAAACTCCATTAGTAAGAACAATAGATTGTAAAAGTCTAATACTTAACCCAAAAAAAAAAATGATAAGTTCTGGGTCAAGGCCAAAGAAATTCATTAAAAGCATGCATGAAACAAAATGATTTGGAACATAAGAAAAAATAAAGACTACATAGTATTCAAGGTTGGAAAATGTTAGAAACCTGATGATCACTAACAGCTTGGAGTAGTTCATCTTTACAAATATATATATATAGAGGGTAACTTTTCCTATCATCCTGAAGTAGCAAAAAAGGAAAAACAGGGATAAGAATTTAAAGGTAAAAATAGAGTTATTTTATTCACATAGTTGTTTGGGAAAATGAGGCTCTTCCCTTTTATAGGTTACAAGGACTATTCTAGAAATGTAAGAGTGGAGATGTTAAGACCTAAACCCGGTACCCGGAGGTTCGGCGTTGCGATAAGATAATAACTGAACTCATAACAAATTAATAGTACGTAACATAAAAGGGTACCCAAATTATTATTTAATAACAGAGCATATACATTGGAGCTTCTATTTAGTTTCATTGCCCGAGCCTAGATTATGATTATAAAGTGCCTCGTGCCTAGCCTATGCGCTGGTCTTGACATATCACCTGAAAGCTGTAAACAACTATAAGCACATGGCAGAGTGAAAAATATTATACCGAGAGCATGAGGGTATAAAACTCACCATGGATAATTATTGGGTTAAACAAAGTTTGATATTAAAATACAGAATATAAAATATGAAAATCATTTTGAATAACAAACATATGATACATAGATCATATAAACAAAATAATCATAACCACGGTACAGAACAGAACAAAGGTCATAGGAGTGACAATCAAAACAGAGGTCAACGGATCCATGACAAATAAAGGACCACAAAGTGGCCAAACAGAGGCCAATGGTTATTTAAGTCCTCCAAGGTATGGGACTCCCGTGGTGATACTTACAAAACATAATTGTTTATAAAATCATTGTCAAATAATTTGTAAAAGTTAAACAAACATATCCATGGGTTTCAATTTAAGCAAATGGAGTTCAGAAAATAATTAACGTAATAAAAGTTATAAAACATAACTTGTATAAAACAATTTATGGTAATTCAAAACATACGTAAAATATATTATTGTGACGCAAGGTATAATATAACTCACCTTAATATTAACCCTTAGCCTTTTCTCTTTAAATATAATTAATTAGGTTCTAAAGGAAGTCAAATTAGATAAATTAAATTTTGTGGAATTTATGATTAGTAGTAATTAATTTAATTATGTGTTAATCAAGATTTATTAAGAATAAGTATTATTTAATTAAATTAATTTTAACCATAAATTAAATTGTAGAATCATTTAGATTTTGAGAATATATGTGGGTGTGTGTGTGCAAAGAAGTCTGAGAGTGTGTGTATTATTGTTGTGCTAGAAGCTTAAAGTGTGGGCACGTGTGCATGTGCAATGTTAAGAAGTGAACATGTGTGTGTAAGTGTTGATAACCTTCAAGCTCTATATGTGTGCATGAGGAGAGAGAATAGGCAAATCTATTTATTATTTGGTGAGAGCATTCTTGTGCTTCATATTGTTTTGATAGAACCGAGAGAGAGAGAGAGAGAGAGAGAGAGAGAGATAGAGAGAGAGAGAGTTCAGTTCCTTAGATCCTTGCTGGGAATTTTGAAGAAGATTAAGGAAGCTAGAGAAGAAGAAGATTTAAAGGGGAAATCAAATCTAATTGCTGAAATTAAAATTTGAGGTATGAAATTCAAGCATGATTTATGTAGGATCTTCTTTTTATGCTTGAGATTGAGAAGGGTTTGGAATCATGTTCATGAAATTAGAGAGAAATTTGGGTTTGAGCAAGAAATGAGTTACATACATAATTATGGAGAATTATTTTAAGTTTCATCATTTTAATTTAATTTTGGAAATTGCATGCATAAGACACTCATCAATCAAGAGCTCTAAATGAGAAATCAAAGCGCAAATCTTGTAGATAAATTATCTAGAACTTGAAATTAAGAAGTAAGTAGATTTAATTCCATGCAATTAAAAAGAAATTAGCAAGATGATAAAGAAATAGAGTTAGGTTCAAATTTATGGAAGTTAAATTGGGAATTAATTATTTTGGGTTTGATTTTGGAATATCTTGTATGAGTTTGAGTCTAATTTCTACATGTATGGGAAAATTCTACAAGTTTTAATACTCTAATTGTACATGCATCATGGATTTATAGTAATTGATTTCATATTTTGATGAAATGAGAACTAAGCTTTGGAAAATTATGAGTTCATGAACAAATGAGTTCAATTTTAAATTAAACGAGTTTTGTTGTAAATGATCTAAAATTGATCATATTTTCTTGATTAATTAAGAGTTGTATGCTTCTAGACAAGTCATGTATGAACCCAAGTTTTGAGATTATATTCTGAAAGTTTAATTCATATTTTAGAATTTGTGAGTTTGGAATTGGGTTTGATATGAAGAACATAAATTGAGTTAAATTTGATGAACGTAACGTTTGTATGTACATGCATGTGAAGGATTGTCATGAGTTTCCATATTTGAGTACAAACATGCATTTTATAATGAATTGAAGGCTATTTGGCACATGTAAGCATGATAATGTTGAATTTCATGAAGTTGATCATCAATTGTACTATTTAAGTTGAAAGTGAAGCCTATATTTCAGATGCATGTGTATTCCAAAATTATATGGAAATTAATTTGCATGAGTTTTGAACATATGAAGTTAGTAAGGGTTGTCAAGAAAAATGTGAAAATAATTTGGCAATTGAATTGTGATTTTGGACAAATTAGACTCAATTTTCTGATGGCCTCATATTGTATAAAGATTTCCATGATTTTGTATCAAGAACGTGAGTTTTAGACCCTTTGAATGCTAAGTTTGAGCTTCAAATGCAATTCTGGAAATTCCAAAATTCAGCATGTCCGCTCGAGCGGGGAAAGCGCCGCTCGAGTGTGAAATGTTGGCTTCCAGAACTTTTGCAGACATTAATGTCCGCTCGAGTGGAAAGAATCACGCTTGAGCGTGGAAATGTAGTAACCAGTACTTTTGCAAACCAAAGGGGTCCGCTCAAGCGGCCAAATCCACGCTCGAGCAGAGAGCCCTGTTCCTGAAATTATGAAAAATGGTTTTGTGTTTTGTTTTCTGTTCTCTTTCATTTCTAAGCACTCTTAGGAATACATTGAGCTATGTAGATGACCTAAAGGATAAAGAAAGAAGCCTAAGAGAAATAAATAGATTAAAGAACGGATTGAATTGTTTGTGACCCAATATGTGTTATGAATTGTGTAGGGTCGAGCATAAGGACGAATCCACCGATAGAACACTGTGAGTAATATCTTAGTAAAGATATGTTCAAGTATGTTGTTTTCCCAAACGTTACTTCTATCCATGCCGTATGGATTTGCACGTTTGAATTAAGAATGAGTATTCTAAATGTCAGTCTTTTGCTTAAGAATAAATGAATACAAATACGATCATGATCATGAGTATGAAACACACATAAATACATCTGACATGAATGATTGGGCCAAAGGCCGTCTGACATGAGTGATTGGGCCAAAGGCTGTCTGACATGATTGATTGGGCCAAAGGCCGTCTGACATGAATGATTGGGCCGAAGGCCATTTGACATGAATGATTGAACCAAAAGCTGCTTGACACAAACAAATTGGGCCCTAGGCCATTTGATAAGAGCGAATTGGGCCTGAGGCTGTTTGATATATTAGATAAAAACGTGAATGGGCCTATGGCCGTTAGATATGTCTGTTATGAATTTCATTTATGTAACTTCTTTATTTTGATATTGTTCACTGGGCTATCGCTCACTGCCATTTATATGTGTGTAGGTAAGCAAAGAGATGTCCAAACCCAACCTCAGTGAAAGATATGAGAGGAAGTCAAGTTTTGTGGAGTTAGTCCGCACGTCTCACGCACTAGACTTTATTTTTGTTCATGTGTTTACACTTTTGCTTTATCGGTGAATACGTTGGATCATCCATGCGTATAAGTTTTTTTTGTTTGGCTGACTGCATGTCTTGAAGTTCCTGGATGTATAAGATATTAACTCTATTTTTATGTGTGAGTTATTATGGACTGTTTATGAAATGTTTCGCTTTATCATGTAAGCACAACTCATTGGACAGAATTTTTAAGTCTGCTTCCGCTTTTGGCCCCATATGATTATTTAAAAATCTATGTTCTGTCTGAGGCCATAGGTAATCTAACGATTACTGGCCGGTTATGATCCTAACCTATAGCGGCTGGTTCGGGTCATGGCAGAGTGGTATCAAAGCACGAGTTAATAACTCACACACTTGCCCA